AATAATAATAATAATAATAATAATAATAATAATACAAAATCACCATCAGTCAAATGCAAAAAGCCGCACTGCTTGGATCTGCACGCATATTACGAAAATACGTTACGACGTCCTAGGCCCCTGGATGGGGCCCGACTAGTAACCAATGCCAAATCCGGCGAAACAACTGGCCGCTGTGATACAATTGTATAATAATAATAATAATAGGTGAATATCTTTTGAGACTTTTGAATACAGATGGATTGTCATTTGGAGCACAACATGCCAGATATCACACTTCTAGAAGGCCGAAGCATACAGTTTATTGATATCGCTATACCAGGAGACACCAGAGATGAAGAAAAAGAACTGAAAAAAATCACAAAATATTGCGACCTAGCCATCGAACTACACAGCTATGGGTAGCATGTCATCGGGGCACTTGGTACCATGTCCAAGAATTTTACAAAACACATTTTGCAAAACTGCAAAAAACCTGTGCTACTAGGAACATAATATGTTTTAAGAAGATACCTGGTTGATACCTAGGACGCTGGTAGCAACCTGTATCAACCATTAGCACCGGTCAGTGGTATTTGCGACACATCTTTAAATGTTCACTTGGCTGAGTTTCATGTTTAATGAATAAAAGAAATCATTATCATCATCATCACCACCACCATCAAAGCTGGCTGAGGAATTCTTGGAGTTGAAGTCCACAAGTCTTTAAGTTGCCAAGGTTGGAGATCCCTAATCTAAAGGATGGGGCCTGTTTTGAAAGAGTGGGGTGGGGAGAAGTCAAATTCATCTCACTTTCCTTCAGTCGCTGCAGGAAAGATGGGTGGGGTGCGGATTATTGGGCAACAAGTGCAAACGGGGGGAGGAGTGCATACACGCGTCAGGATGGCATCGAAAACACCCAACTAGTCGAAGTGCAATCCTAACCGCCTTTTTATTATTATATTTCCTCCCTCCCTATTCTCCGCCTCTTTGCTATGCCTGGTGTGTCCCCCCCCCCCCTTTCTTTCTCCCATGCAGATTCTCGGCAAAGTGGGAGTGCGAACGTGAGAATTCCCGGGCCCCGCTTTCCTTGGTCTAGAGAGAAGAGCGTCGTCCCAGATTAGGTGGGGCTTGGATTTCTCGCAGCGGGAATCATCCCTCCTCCTCCTGCTGCGGCAGAAAGTTCCCCTCCCTTTCCTTCCTGGAAAAAAAAAAAGGAAAATAAACGACCAAACATACAAAAATATAAATATATAAAAAAATCTCCCATGAAATCTCGCTTCTAGGCGAAAGCAACCGTGGCACTTCTTGGGCGGAGGGAATACCCCTCCCGCATGCGGCGGCGGCGGCGGGCTCCGTCTTCTCGTAGGCATTCGAAGTAGGGCATGAGCCCCTTCGCCGGGCGCCTTTGGCGATGGATTCCCACACCGCCAAATACCTGGGCTGCTTTTTCTGGCCGCTGGTCGTCTGTCTGCCGCTGGCCCAAGGTAAGCAGAGAGTCCCGGGATGGATTTGAAGCGCGTCCCCGTCTTAGCTTCTGCAGGGTCCGGTAAGGGGTACGTTCTTGCGTGGGCGAATGGGCGCTAGTTCGCCGTGCGACGCTAGGATTCAGCAGCTGGAGGGCTTCAGAGCCGCGATGGGTTTCTTTGTAGCCGGTTTAAACCCGGCTCCCCTCGGCAGTGAGCCCCGATGGTTTCACGCGACGTTTCCAAAAAAACTGTTCATAAAAGCCTGGACGGACCATTTTCTTTGGTGCGAGACTCTTGGCTTTGGAGCGTACTTTTCAAAGAAAAATGCGTTTTGTGGACAGTTTTGCTCATCTTCAGATTTTGTTGTTGAATGTGCCCGTCGGGTTTGTGAAAGCTCGGAATGGTGGAAAAAGGTGGGTTAACTCACCTGTCCTCAATCCGATGCTCTCGACTTTATAACCCTTATTATCTACACCTAGTTTGGCTATTTTAGAAACGTAGGTTTGTACTTCAGTGGGAAAATGTATGTGTGTATGTGTGTGTGTGTTGTGTTTGTGTGTTTGTGTGTGTGTGTGTGTGTTCAGGATAGAGATGGATGGATGGATAGACATTATGGTAAACTGTTTATTTTCTTTGAAAGTCTTATTATAGGGTAACAATTTTATACATCAATAATAAGCTTGTTTTAAATAATGACCTTTTTTTAATTTTTCAACCCTTTTTAGGAACTGAAAAGGAGTTAGGGGTTGAATGTGTTCAGATCCGTTAATTAATGCAATGAGCCCCAGCTGCAAAGATTTCACAAACTTTCTGTGACATTTAGTTTCATTTTAAATTGGAATGAGAAATGCCCATATCTTTTCTTACACTGAAGTACACTTGCTTGTGGGTTTTTTTTCAGCGTATCCGAGCTTCAGTCATTTGTATTTTTCATCTCCTGTAATGGACATTATCAGTGAAAAATTGATAAATATGACATAGCCAGATGTGATTTTTTAAAATCACATTGTGTAAAACATGTGTTATGTGTATCTTATAGACTGAAACCTTGCACATTAAGTCTAGCTTGATTAAGCATCATGTATTTCAGTGACATCACCCTGCAGTTAACTTTTCCCATGAAATCAATGGGAATTGAACTTTTATGGACCATCCACCACAATTACCATTTATTTATTGCAATTTATATGCTATTTAGTCAAGCCACATTACAAATGAATTACAGCTATCAGTAGAATTGCAACCTAATGTATCTTCTGATTTGTAGGTTGTTTTTTTTACAAAAATTAACCAATTCATGTTCAATTCTGTTATAGTTCTTGCACAAAATCACATGTGAATGCCAGGTAAAATCATAGAATTCTGCAGTCGTGGCACCCATGTTACCCTAGATCTTAGAAGGTCTCGTTCTTTGAATCAATTATATGTCCTATGTGCTAATGTTAATTGACGTTCTAGTTTTAGCTATAGTTCACAATCACATGGCAAGATATGCTGTGGCATTATCAAATAGCTACATCTTGTATAATTTTTTTAGAAGTCCTTTTGAGTGGGATATGGTTCAAGGTCAATTAAGATTATATATTATTTTATCCTCTGAAATTCATTGAAGTCTGTTGATAGAGCTATATGTGCAGAATTGCCCCTTTCACCCTGTTTTGAGTGAACCAAATTATTTTAGGAGTTATATTCTACTATTGTGGCAATATAATGAACTTCTAATTCCTATGCTTATTTTTTTGCTTTTCTCAATTACTTAATATCAAACTGAGGAATGTTGGGTTTATTTAATATTAGTGTTGTGGATTAAGTCAAAAGCCAAATCATTTTGGAGTTAGTAGTGCCTTTTCTTTGATCTTTTATTGCTGAACCAATGCAAGCATCTGAAACTAACACTGTTTTATTTCCATATTGTACTTTCAACTGAAAGCATATAAACAAGAATTCAGGTGTGAAGTGAGCTGAGCTTCATCCCACAATTTAATACGACTTTAAATGGCAGATTCATGTTCACAGCTGAAAAGTTTATATTCTATTGTACAATTCTAATAGGAAGACTTGAAACAGACCTTAGCAGTATGAAGTGCAATTGGTCAGAATCTATGCCATTCAATAACATTTCCTCCTCCCTCCCATTTCTTCTCCCAACAGTTGTACTGTACTTGTTGATCTGGCTCCATAAGAAAGTATATTTACAGTCCAAATTTTAAAAAAGGGAGAATTTAAAAATACAAAGTGACTAGAGGTTTTTAAATTATGCCTACATTTTCCAGTGAAACATTGTATTGCTAAGGCTGTATAGGCACTGTCCTGGGGTGCCAAATTTTAGGGGTACCCAAAATGGGGAAAAAAACACAATAAAAAGCAGCAACTGTGCATTCTGTGAATTTGCATGCCTGCTCACCAGGTGAATGAAATATTGCAGAATTGTTAAAGTGTGACAACAATGAAGTCCTGATGTAATTAAAATTATTTACTTAGGGTGAAAATGTCTGAGAAAAGGGAAAAAAGCCATCCAGGGCTTAAAATTGTAACTCTAAAGCTCAAAAACATAAAGGGAAAAAAAGAAACAACATGGCACTTTTAAATTTTTTTTAACAAAATCAGAAAATGAGTCAAACCATACACATCATCAGAATATGACTTTTCCTAAAGTCCCAGAATGTCTAGAATGTATTGCTAATTATAGACTATTGTGTTGATAAGTTTACTATTGCAAGACTGTCTGAAATATTACATAGCAATTCCTTTTTTCAGGAGCTGCTTGCAAACCTGGTTGTCATCCAGTGAATGGATTTTGTGAAGTTTTCAATGAATGCAGGTAAGTTAATTGATAGCACATTTGCCAGAGGGAGAAAAAACAAGGGACAAGTATTATTTTAATTAAGCACTATTGCTACTTTAACTTTTTATATAAGAATCATTTATGTAAAATGCAATTCAGCGCCAAATATTTTAATCAGCATATTCTTCATATTTGACTTAAACTTTTAACAACCATTTTTAAAAACAACAGCCATTCCAGAAAAGGAAAAAAAAAGGTTTCTCAAACCAGCAGAACAAAAAAGAGTGGGAAGATCAAAGATTTCCTCTGAAATTTGCTCAAGAGGAATGAGGGGCCTCCTGGATACATTATGATGTGGAGGAAAGGGAAGTCTCCTTGGACAATTTGGATGTTGTTCAACAATAATAGATATATAGAGAAAAAAACCTGATTTACAGTTTTTCTTATTCACTTTTGGACTTAAAAGTTCCATTCATTCACAATCAATGCATATCTTCTCAACTCAAGTCTTCTTAGGCAATCCATATTCGAGTACCAAAAGAATCAAGACAGGACACTATATATATAGACATACATTGAGTTTGATGGCTCCCGATGAATATGATTCTTATGCATTTTTCATAGTTTTGAACTAGGTTTGACCATTTTCAATTCAGAATAGAGCTGGAAATACAGTGTATGGAGAGCAGAAGAGCCAATAATCATTTTGGGGGGTTGATGTTAAGACAAATTGATGTAAACATTTAACAATATAATATAATGTTGGTTATGTAACAGTATACATGTGGTTATTTGTTATGAAAATGAAAAAATAAAAAAACTTTTTTAAAAAAAGAATAGAGCTGGAAGGGACCTTGGAGGTCCTCTGCTCAAGCAGGAGACCCTATACTATTTCAGACAAATGGCTGTTCAGTGTCTTCTTAAAAACCTTCAGTGATGAAGCACCCACAACTTCTGAAGGCAAGCAAATTGTCTCATTATTAGGAAGTTTCTCCTTAATTCCAGGTGGTTTCTCTCCTTGATTAATTTCCATCCATTGTTTTTTGTCCTGCTCTTTGTGCTTTGGAAACTTCTTTGTGGCAATCCCTCAAATACTGGAATACTGCTATCATGTCACCTCAATCCTTTTCTCTAGACTAGCCCTACCCAGTTCCTGCAATCATGCTTCATATGTTTTAGGCTCCAGGCCTTTAATCATTCTAATTGCTCTTTTCTGCACTGCCAAAGTCTCAACATCTTTTTTGTAATGTGGTGACCAAAACTGGATGCAGGTAAGGTCTTATAAAGCAGAACGTTAATGGACCAGTCCATTAAAAGCTTGGCTAATCTTTCTTGGCCCTTTTCTCACTCTTGATGACACTTTTTTTAACTTAGTGACTTAGCCTTCTTCCATTCTTTCGAGAGTCATCTATTTCTTTGGAAACGTAGCTTGTAGTGTCTTTAAAGTCTTCAATCTGATATGAATTTATAACATGCTGCCTTAAGTTGACATTTTCTCAAGTTATATTTCTGCTTTTTTATCCTGCTATGAGTAAATTTCCCACACTCCATTTTTCATACATGTCCATTCATACAAATAAATGGCATAAAACTACTAGCTGTTATATTGTTGTATTAAACAATAATTGGTGTTATGCTAGGCCCAATAATATGCTAATACATGACTCATTAATGTGATTATACGTAGTTCATATATTCTGCCATTGGTGGTGTTAGTTAGCTTCATCTATATTTGATGCATTTATAAAAAAAATTTCATACATACTGAAATAATGCCCAGGATACAATGACAATAGCAATAGCACTTAGATTTATATATCTCTTCACAGTGCTTTCCAGCCCTCTCTAAGTGGTTTACAGAGTCAGCATATTTCCCCCAACAATCTGGGTCCTCAGATTGCTCAGTTCACTAACAAATCTCCCCCCCCCTTCATTTATTGGAAAACTTTAACAGAAATGGAAATGTTCAGAGCATTGGACTGTATTTTAGTGTTTATTTTAAAAAGAAAATGGAAAATCATTAAGCTGCTATTTGCCAGAATATTTCAGCATCAAAATCTTGGGTAACTGTAAGAGATGCAGAAAAGCACTGAGACTGCACATGGCCATGCAGTCTGAGTTGTCTATGTGATGAAAAGTGTGTTAATGAGATGATTATCATGGAGCTTTCACTAAGAAAACCACACCAGTATTCGGTAGTTGTTTTTAATCAGAATAAGGAATCTTATTTCCATAACAATCAGAATAAGGGATCTTATTACCATAATTTTATCTACAGCATCTAGTTTCTTAATTCTATTTGCAAAAAGATCTTAGCTTGATTTGCTATTTCATATTGTGTTTTTGCTAGATGCCGATTTGGTTGGCAAGGCCCTCTCTGTGATCGGTGTGTTCCTTTCCCTGGCTGTTTGCATGGGACATGTGTCAAACCAGGCCAGTGCATGTGTGAAGAAGGATGGATTGGTAGCCGCTGTGACACAGGTTTGGAGATAATTTCCTTTTCTTTTCTTTTTTTAACATTTCTCTTTTATTTTCATTTTCATTTTCATACACTCACATGTATACTGTACATAGCCAATGCCATACAGCATTAAACAATAATTGCATCAATTCCTCTTGTCAACAATGCCCCAGAAAATAGAAACCCA